GAGGTCAGGGTTCAAGACCAGCCTGAGCAAGAGCGAAACCCTGTCTCAAAAAAAAAAATCTGAAATTTTTAGCTTCTCTTGAAACATGAGAGATTTGGCAACACTATGTGGCAATAATCAGGTGGAGCTGAGTAGCAATTGACCCTTAATCCAGTACCTGAGTTCCCAGCCAGCATGCCCCAATACTTGATTCTTTTTATACACAGGTAACTCTGTCTGCCTGGTCTATGCAGGTTTGAGTCTGTGACTTCAAATCCAAATGGTTATTATAATTAAACAGCAATTTACTTAGAAACAATAAACTGTGATAGTTGGAGACAACTATTAGAATTTCTTTAAGTTAGAAGGAACTGTTAGATCTGTTTTGTGATATTCAGAATGATATGTGGTAGTCCTTGAAAAGGGGATCCAGATCAAGTCAATGCCTCATCTCTTCTCTGTTAATTTGGAAGTTTATTTGCCCCTAAAAATTAACAAATTTTACATTTTACTTACACATTTTGGGAAGACCCTGAAGTCAGAGTCAGTGTTAAAATTTTAAGACTTAGTAACTAATGACAATTTGACACTTAATGTATAATAATATTCTTGAGAATCCAGATTGTATTTTTTAAATGTATGTCATCAAATTTATTTAGAGAGAATTTTAAGGGCTTTGGGGAAAGGGGATTTTCTAAATTCAATAACTGCAGTGACTGGATGGATTTTCTTTCTTCTTTCTTTCTTTCTTTCTTTCTTTCTTTTTTTTTTTTGCCTAAAAGCTGAGTGCTTTTTGAGATCAGTATATTTTACTTTTTTGCTTATAAAAATCCTATATAGACCCTAAGAAGATATCAATATTAGAAAGAAAAGTATTGTTAATTTCTATGTAGAAGACCTACATATGAAAAAATTATTGATGTATTTATTTCTTTTAAAATTTAACAGCAGTGAAAATACCATGTAATGTTTAGATTTATTTTCATATTTACTCTGAAGGGGCAAGCTTTTATGTTATCTTTAAGAGTCTTCAAATGCCATTGTTCAAGCTGATATTGGTTCTTACCACTAACAGTTCTCAGTGGCTAAGAGTGGTACTATAGAAGGCTAAACTCAATCCTAGACAAATACCAAAAGAAACAAAAACAAAAAAAAGGAATGATAGCCTCCAAGATAGACTAGAGTTGCACTCTGGTAGGGAATGTCCTCCTAAAAAGTGATCTCCCTTTCCTGGTTGTCTACAAACCTATTTGATAAGCACTTCATCAGTAAAATGTAGGTAACATGTACCCTCAATAAGTGTTTTTTTATTTATATAAAAATTGAATAAATGTTCCACTGTAATAATATATTTTATACATTATAAAACATATCAAAATAAGAAATTTTAAAGAATGAAACAAAAAAAGTAGAAATAGATGTTCCAATGTTGTCTTCAAATCCCCTAGTGCAATTGTATCTCTTCTTCATTGTCTCATCCCAGTTGTTTTCCAAAATCTGTTCTATGCAACATTATTTCAATATAATTTTAGTAAGTATTTTTACATGAGAAAGGGTTTAATTATCAAGTAAGTTTGGAAAATGCTGACTAGGTTAAAATTAGATAGATTTCCTTATCATGTGATTTCTTATTTTTAATAGCATCCAGTTGTGAATCCTTATAAAGGAGAACATATAGATGGCTAATATTCTTCCAAGATCCCTTTGAGAAATCCTGGTCTATTCAAGTTTTCTGAAGATCATCTTTGCTTACTATTTACCAGCTCTTTCCATAGGGTTTCTATATAATCCTGAGAAGACTCTGTTAAATTATTCCCAACCTCTTTGCATTATAAGCCTTTTAACTCACTGACTCTTCTGTTTCTTCCTAGGACCAATGTCCTGCACTTTGCACCCAGAACCCAAGACCATTTTGGGTAGATAAGCCTTGTTCAAGTCTCAACCTCTGCTCCCCTATCATCCATGCACTGGTGCATCTTGGCCTTAGATAAAACTTGCCAGCCTCACTTCAATTCAGTTTCTAGGATGAATCCTGATCTTAAGTAAAAGGATTTAAGGTGGATCTACCCATAATTTGGGACTCACCACAAATTCACTCTTTCTGTTTGGTCTTGATTATGTGCAGAAACAATTGTTCTGATGGCCTTCTTGATCCTATGACTCAGTTCCCACTTTGTACTCTGTTGATGACAGCAAAGTTACTACTAACCTGCCTGGCACCTGACCATCTCAAGAAAAACAGTTTAAACTTTTGCTGTA